CAGCAGCCCAAGAGCCTGACGAGGTTCACGTGCTGGAGCTTGGCGATGAGCACCACCTCGTTCTTGAACTCGTCCAGGCCCTGCGTCGAGTACTTGGACAGCCGTTTCACCGCCACCTTCTGCCCTCCCCCAAGCTCACCCTGCATCGATCCAACCATTTGTTTTGCAGCAGTTGTTATCACTTTCTTGCCTCAGATCGATCAATCGATCGATGCCGCGAAATGTTGCAATGTTTACCTTGTAGACGGCGCCGAAACCGCCTTCGCCGAGCTTGGCCGCCGCCGCGAAGTTGTCGGTGGAGGAGGCAATCGTGGCCATGTCAAAGAGAGTGACATCATGCAGTCCTTTGCTCTGACTCGAGTCCTCTTCCATGCTCCTGTCTTGGACTGGAGCAAGAGGGTTGCTCGAGTCGAATGAGGTGAGCGGTCGTGTGCTCTGGGACCTCCCTGCAGGTTTGCAGAAAGTAAAATTTACCTTCCTTGTGTATAAAAATACTCGTAGAAAATACTAGTTTAGATTTAGGCGCACCTTTGTTTCTGAAGAACTTAGTCCACAGAAAGAATACGCCGATGCCGAGAAGAAGAAGACCGGATAAGCTGAGGACAACAGCAAGTGCTGTGTTTCTCCTGCTGGGATTGTCTCCATTGGAAGCTGTCAAGGTCACCGTGGAAAGGTTAGCAAGTCACTAAGTGGTATTCTGCATTTCAGTTTTCTGGATTGAATTTGTGCATCAACGACTAAGGACTGAATGATGTTGCTCTGAAAGCAAGAAACCCCCCTCAAGTTCCCTGTCTCGGTATTGACCAATGATCATGACTGACTGGAAACAGTATTTTGACAACCGAGGATTTGCAGTATGTTACTCTGCTCGGATGTAAAATTTGAACTATATTTATCCATACAAAACTTGTAGGTATTGCTCTAACTTTTGATTTATGTTTGTGGTATTTCTCTTATATTGTCCTAACCTGAGAAGCAATAAAAATGGAGGGGCAAGGGGATCCATCCTAATTACTCGCCACTTTGTCAGTGAAAGCAACAACTGAACACCATTGTTTCATGGGAAGGAGCACTTGTCACCTCAGTTTCAGTCTAAAGAAGCATTGCAGTCCTGCTGATTAGGGCACCTCCAGCCGCGCCCCCAAGAAGACCTCCCCAGGCGATTTTTTCGCGGCGGCGCTGAAAAAACGGCCCAGTCGCGCCCCAGAAACCCGATTTTCGCTGGCTTGGACCGAAAACAGCGCCGGCGGACCCAACCCGAACCCGGCGCGCTGGGGGGCGCCCGGGGGCGCCGGGGCGAGTTGTTTTGGCGCGAAGAAGCCATGGGCCAGCCGCGTTAGCGACTCGGCGCCTCGTCTCCCCCCAACGGCCTCGGTTCCCGCGGGGAATCAATGGCAAGGCTGCCGCCAGTCAACCTTGCCATTGATTCCTTCACGGGCGGCGCTTCACGGGACGGCGCGCCGACGCCTCCCCTCCCTCGCACGCGTACACACGGGGCGCGGCCCGGCTATAAAAGCCGGCGGCCTCCACTCTCCTGTACACACACCAGCCCCGCCCGCCCCCTCGCCGCCGTCCAGCCCCTCCCTCTCCCTGCCTCTCCCGAGCGCCGTCGCCATGGCAGAATGTTTCCCCGGAGACGAGGCGGCGGCCAACGGCTTCGGCCGCCGTTCGCTCCGCGAACAGGAGTCCTGGCTCCTGTTCCAGGCGAACATCTCGGCGCCGCCGGACATGCGCGCCGGGCCATCGGGGTGGAGACTCAGCGCCGGGGGAGTGCCCATTCCCCCGTTGCCCGACGCCGTGGCGAAGCCGAAGTACTTCGCCGAGGAGGTTGAGATCGTGCGCGCGTCCCTCACCGACGCCCAACTCTCCCTCCCCCAGTACGCCACCGACAACCACGCGGCCTGGGCGGCGTATTTCGAGCGCCGCCAGCAGCAGCGATTAGCGTCCACCAACAGCGCGCCGATGGTCGGCGGGCGGCAGAACAACGAGGGGCGCCGCCTCTGGTGGGGCGTCCCCGGCCGCACACTCAAGGGCGTGCTCACATACCTCGACGGCGGCAACGACCCGCCGTTGGCGTACCCCCTGGCGCAGCACCGACGCGTCGAGCCATGGGCGCCAAGGAGGTTCGGGTCCTCCTCCTCCTCTTCCTCCTCCCGATCCTCATCGCACTCCTCCGGCACTCCGGCCCTGCTGGGCGTCAAGGCCGAGCCCGCGGCGGAGTCGCCGCCCGGCCGGCGCACTCGCAGCGCCGGCATCGTCATCAATGAGGGCGGCCGGCGCGCCTCCTCCTCGTCGGCTCCTCCGCGCTTCGTCAAGCCAAAGACGGAGTCGGGGCTGGCGCCGGTGAAGACGGAGCCGGGGCTGGTGCCGGTGAAGGCGGAGTTCGACGACGACGACGCGGCCCTAGAATGGGCGCGCCAGGACTCCATTGCGATGGAGAAGGCGCGCCGGGAGAAGGCGAAGGAGCGCC